CATGAATATCTTAAGGCGCACATACAATGAACATGGATGAATGTAACATACTTTAGTATTGTGCAAGAATGGTCTTACTTTAATTCTGAGTGCATTTCTCAACTCTCCTTCCAGGAAATGTTCACAATATTGTCTATTTTTTGGCTTTGACAATAATTCAATCCACAATTCAACCTATGCTAAATCTGTGAACTAGTATGTGATAATACTGATATGATAATAGTTTCACGGCTCTACAAAAATGACTGAAATCTAGTTCTTTTTTCACCCAGTCCAAGTGATTTTTGAATCATAGTTTGAGCGTAGATGCAGTATAGATGGTTCAATGCCCAATCTGCTGTGTTCTACAAACTTTATGAACCACCTGCAGGATAGATTTGCAGACGACACCACCCTCATTGGACTCATCTCCAACAACGATGAGTCCGCCTACAGGAGGGAGGTGGACCGGCCGGTGTCCTGGTGCAGTGGTAACAACCTGGAGCTGAACGCCCAGAAGACAGTGGAGATGATTGTGGACTTCAGGAAGAGCACTGTCCCCCCGCCCCCACCCTCCGTGATGGACTCCCCCATCACCTCTGTGGAGTCCTTCCGTTTCCTGGGCACCACCATCACCCAGGACCTCAAGTGGGAGCCGACCATCAGCTCCCTCATCAAGAAGGCCCAGCAGAGGATGTACTTCCTGCGGCAGCTCAGGAAAGCCAAGCTGCCTGCACAGATGTTGGTGCAGTTCTACACGGCCATCATTGAGTCCATCCTCACCTCCTCCATCACCTCCTCCATCACGTCCTCCATCACCTCCTCTATCACCTCCTCCATCACCTCCTCCATCACCTCCTCCATCACCTCCTCCATCACCTCCTCCATCACCTCCTCCATCACCTCCTCTATCACCTCCTCTATCACCTCCTCCATCACCTCCTCTATCACCTCCTCCATCACCTCCTCCATCACCTCCTCTATCACCTCCTCCATCACCTCCTCCATCACCTCCTCCATCACGTCCTCCATCACCTCCTCCATCACCTCCTCCATCACCTCCTCTATCACCTCCTCCATCATCTCCTCCATCACCTCCTCCATCACCTCCTCCATCACCTCCTCCATCAAGTCCTCCATCACCTCCTCCATCACCGTGTGGTTCGCTGGAGCCACAGTCAGGGACAAGCAGAGACTACAGCGCATTGTGCGCTCTGTAGAGGAAGTGATCGGCCGCAGCCTTCCATCGCTGCAGGACCTGTACGTCGCCCGAGCTCGGGGCCGGGCTGGTCGTATCACTGCGGGTCCGCCGCTGCTTGTCTCGTCGCGGCCTGCTGCTGCATACGGCCGGTCTGGACCGGTGCGGTGGGAGCCGTGCGCATCCCTGCCTCCTCGTGCCGGTACGGCGTGGTCCCGTCGTGTTGTCCCTTGTCTTCTGGCGTTGTGGGTAAGTATGAGACCTGCGGACGGTTTATTCCCCTCGCATTGTACTGCAGGCTCAGTTGGCCCCGCGCTTGTACTGCAGGCTCAGTTGGCCCCGCGCTTGTACTGCAGGCTCAGTTGGCCCGTGCATTGGTGTGCCAGCTTCAGTTTAAAGCCCTCGCATTGTTCTGCAGGCTCTCTTAACCAAGCTCCGTTTAAATCCTTCACTCTGACTGCAAGCTCCGTTATTCCTCACATTGGACTGCAAGATCTCAGTTTAATCCCTCACATTGGACTGCGTGCTCTCAGTTTTAATCCCTCACTTTGGCCTGCAAGCCCAGTTTAAATCCCTCTGGACAGGAAAAGAAGAAAAATATGGTTCTGCTCATATCTGGAACGCTTATATATAAAAATAAATAAATATAAATAAATATAAATATGAATAAATATAAATAAATAAATAAATACATAAATAAATAAATTAAATAAACTGCAGGCTCTGTTGGATCCCTCACACTGGACTATAGGCTTTCGGTTAAACTCCTCACTTGGACTGCGGGTTCAGTTAATCCCTCACTTGGACCGTAAAAACTGTTAAATCCCTCACACTGGACTGCAGCTCTCGGTTTAATCCCTCACTTGGACTTCAAGCTCTCAGTTATAAATCCCTCTTTTAGGACTGCGGGCTATGTTGAATCCCTCACCTGGACTACAAGCTCTCAGTTTAATCCCTCACCTCGGACTACAGGTCGTTTAACTCCCTCGCACCGGACTGCAGGCTCTCCGTTAGACGCCTCACTTGGACTGCGGGCTCAGTTTTAATACCTCACTTTGGACTGCAAGCTCTATTTAAATCCCTCACATTAGACTGCAAGCTCTGTTTAGGTCCCTCGGCGTCTCGTGTCCCGCAACCTCTTCCCGGCTCTCCGTGAGCCCCAAGTCGGCACGCGGCTCGGGCGCGGGAGGTGTCCGTGGGCTACGTCTTTGGCCCCTTCTCTCCGTCTCGCTCTAACCCGATGGGCATCGCCACCCGCAAGCACTCCAGGAAGAAGCGTCTCATGCTCGTCCTCTCCTGTCCCCGCTCCGGGCCCGCCCGAGCATCCACAGCCCCTTCCCTCCAGCGCCCTTCTCCCTGCAGTCCGCTACCATGGACCACGCGATCAGGCTGATAAAGACTTTCGGCCCCGGCTCCTGGCTCTCCAAGGCCGTCATCCCGGACGCTTTCAAGCTGCTGCCATCCACCCCGACCACTGGCGCTGTTCAGGGGTCAAGTGGCGTCGGAGTTCTTCTTCGCAGTGCGCCTCACCTTTGTCTGCCGGAGTAGTCCCTCTCTGTTCAACAATCTCTCGGAGGCGCCGTGTCTGTTTCCACTTAATTACGCGCGGCTCCCCTCTGTCTGCATTTCCCCGATAATTCCCTCGTAGTCAACCCACCCTCAGACTGCTCCGGGGGCTCTCTCCGCAAGCTCAGGCCCGCCTTCTCTGCCCTCGGATTCCTCCACTCCGGAAAGACCACAGGCCCCGCCAACGCTCTGGAGTTTCTCGGCATCCGCCTCGACACACGCGCCATGGAGGCCTCCCTCCCGCTGGACGAGCTCGAACGCATCCGCGTTTCTCCCGGTCTGCCTTGGCCTTCCCGTCACTTCGAGGGGTCCTTGCTCTCCCTCCTCGGGCATCTTCATTATGCCGTCCGTATCATTCCCCAAGGTCGTTCTTTTATTCCAGACTCCTCTCCCTCGCCGGCTCCGTCTCCTCCCTCAACGATGCTGTCTGCCCGGACGCGGGGCGCCGCTCCGACCTGGCGTTCCGGTCCCGTCTGCAGAGCCGCTGGGACGGTGTATCTCTTTTTTTTTACAGTGACATCATCCTGTCTCAGATGCCCCGCGGTTCTTCACGGACGCAGCCCCGTCCGTGGGTTTTGGGGGTTTTCCAGGACCAGTGGTTCGCCGGGCCCCGGCCCGACGCTTTCCCTCGAAGCATCTCCTCCGCGCTCCACGAGATATATCCCATGACCGTAGCCTGCGTGCTGCGGAACCATACGTGGCATAGGAAAGGATTTCCGTGACGTGCGACAACCTCGACGTCATTGAAATAATTAACAGAGGTCGTTCATCCTCTCCCCAAATCACACCCTCCTTAGACGCATCACATGGCTCTCAGTCCTGAACATTTTATCATCACTGCTCGTCACGTCCCTCGTCACCTAACTGTCTTGCTGACTCTCTCTCTCGCTTTAAATTCCAGGAGTTCTGACGCCTCTGCCCTTCTGCCAATCCATCGCCATGCCAGATCCCCTGCACGGAATCCCTCGCCCTGGTCTAGTCCCTCCGTCTCTTCACCTTCTCTCCTCCGCTGCATCCTACATGAAAATGGGCTTCTTACGCATAAGCGAATTCACAAACTCTCACGCCACCTTTAAATGCAGCCCGAGACATTGCCTCTCTGACCTGTCATATTATCCCGACTACTTCAACCTCCACCTCAAGCATCCAAACGCAAAGGCGCTTGCAATATAGTCATAGCCCGGTCTGACACTTCTCCCCGTCCCTACAGATCCATGATGCATTACACTCGCCCCTGCTCTCGGAAAGGAGATCTCTTACTCCCGATAAACCTCCCATGTCATCTAACTGGTTCAGGGCCCAACTCAAGTCCGTACTGCTGCTTTGTAACATGTCTCCCCATCTCTACACAGCCCTCTCCTTCCGGATAGGCGCCGCCACGCGGCGCCACGCGGGCTCCCCCATTCCGCCCTCCAGCAGCTGGCCCGCTGGTCATCATCGGCCCTCTCCTCATACATCAGGCCTGACACCTCGACCATTCTGGCAGCCCAGCGGCTTTTGGCATCTCCATAAAACACTCGCTAAACTCCTGGTGGCGGCTGCAGCTGAGTATCCGCAAGTTTGGTCACAGCAAATAGCGGTCACAGTATATAGTGATAGCGGTCACAGTATATAGCGATAGCGGTCACAGTATATAGCGATAGCGGTCACAGTATATAGCGATAGCGGTCACAGTATATAGTGATAGCGGTCACAGTATATAGCGATAGCGGTCACAGCATATAGCGATAGCGGTCACAGTATATAGCGATAGCGGTCACAGTATATAGCGATAGCGGTCACAGTATATAGCGATAGCGGTCACAGTATATAGCGATAGCGGTCACAGTATATAGCGATAGCGGTCACAGTATATAGCGATAGCGGTCACAGTATATAGCGATAGCGGTCACAGCATAGAGTAGTCTCGTCGTTCTGTCCCCTCCAAACCAGGCTGCAAAAAAAATCCATCAACACAGCCTTTTGGGGATTGGCACGCTCCTTCGCATGGAGGCCCTCCGCTCTGAAGGCCGCACCGGGGCCTAGGGCGCCAAACCTCCTCCTAAATAAAATACTCAAAACTTCTTGTTTCTCGTCTCTCCAAATTGAAATGCAGCCAGCGGAAGTTCAATTTGGTAGACGTCAGCCAAAGGTAACCCCTCCAGGCCGGTTCTCATCCTCAGCCTATCGCACGGCAAACGCCCCCTTCCAATTACCGGTCCAGCCAGGCAAGCCGCTTAAAAGCGGAGAAACGCCCACTCGCGGCCTTCTCGAAGCCTGCAACCACCGCCTCCCCTCCTCCTCCTCTTCACCCTGCCTTCAATCTGCCTTCAATCTGCCTTCAATCTGCTTCCCGCTGCCAAAATGCCGCCACCAGTGCCTAGGTCCCGGGGGATTGGCACGCTCCTTCGCATGGAGGCCCTCCGCTCTGAAGGCCGCACCGGGGCCTAGGGCGCCAAACCTCCTCCTAAATAAAATACTCAAAACTTCTTGTTTCTCGTCTCTCCAAATTGAAATGCTAAAGTTAGTTTTGTTGCAGTTTTTGTATAGAGCGATAGATTTACTCTGGGACGGATGTAGGATCTCTCAGAACTTATTTGAGTGACTTGTAAACACTTCCACTGCCAGAGCAGTCAATTTGACGACTTTCAGTTTTGGATGTGTAATCTTATGTGATCTTATATAATTGTTGGTTTCATGTATCTACGCACGTACATACTGTATATAACACCAGGCCTGGCACCAGTCTCTCTGGGGGTAACGTTTTCACCAGGGTCAACAAATCTCACACAAATGTTGTAAATGGGACATGGAACAAAGTATTTGATTTCACTGTCTGGATTCAGAACCTTTTAAAACCATTGAACTGCATCTTTGGCAGATGTCTGTGCTCTACGAGTGCGTCTCTAATCCTAGAAGAAGATTTGATACATAGAGTTTTTTGCAGTTATTATGCTAAATAAAAATGTTATATTGTTTCTTTGATGCTTGGAGAGCAGTTAGAGATTTTAGTTATTCTGACTGTGATGCAACACTGAAATTTCCCCTCCCTTCTTATTTATCTCAATATTATTCTTTTTTCCGCGAACTTTCTGATGCAGCTCCCATCAGCAAATATGGCAAGGCAAGGCAAGGCAAGGCAAGTTTATTTATATAGCACAATTCATACACAAGGCAACTCAAAGTGCTGAACAAAACAAGAAAGCATTAAAATCATAAATAATCACAGAACATTAAAAAGAAAGATACAAATATAAAATCCCTCAGTTGTAGCACAGCTAAACAGAACTGTCTTTAACCTGGTTTTAAACATTGTCAGAGAGGAGGCCTGTCTCACATCTTCAGGAAGACTGTTCCAGATTTTAGCAGCATGAATCTGAAAAGCAGCCTCCCCATGTTTAGTTCTGACTCTGGGCACTAACAGGAGTCCAGTCCCTGTGCTCCTCAGAGTCCCAGCAGGAGTCCAGTCCCTGTGCTCCTCAGAGTCCCAGCAGGAGTCCAGTCCCTGTGCTCCTCAGAGTCCCAGCAGGAGGTCAGTCCCTGTGCTCCTCAGAGTCCCAGCAGGAGTCCAGTCCCTGTGCTCCTCAGAGTCCCAGCAGGAGTCCAGTCCCTGTGCTCCTCAGAGTCCCAGCAGGAGGCCAGTCCCTGTGCTCCTCAGAGTCCCAGCAGGAGGTCAGTCCCTGTGCTCCTCAGAGTCGCAGCAGGAGTCCAGTCCCTGTGCTCCTCAGAATATCAATATGAACATCCAGTTTCTCGTCTTTCTCTCTCCTTGTTTTAATAATAACATTTGTGCTGCGTCTCTGATTGTTTGAAGAAGCCCTGTACAATTAAAAAGCCGTAGTAAATATCCTGGCTTTGTGTTCTGTGTTTTCCAGCGCGGTCCGGATCAGCCGAAAAGGATGGCACACGCTGCTGAACTTCTGCTTCCACACGGCCCTGACCTTCGCCGTGTTCGCTGGAGGCATCAATCGAATCAAACACCCCATCATCTGTCAGGCGGTGAGTGCGCGGCCTTTTCCACGGACCTGTTCTGCTCAACTTTCACATGAAAAATGATCATAAAACTGTATTCAATGAGCCGGAAGAGACAGATATACGGCAGGTTCAGGCATTTGTTCTGGTCGTGCGTCCGGTGGGCTCTGGTTCTACACCTGTACTTATGGGTTTGTGTACTGGTGTGTGTGTACTGTTGTGTATATGTACTGCTGTGTGTGTGTGTGTGTACTGCTGTGTGTGTGTACTTCTGTATTAAATGTGTACTTCTGTCAGTGGGGGCGGGTCCCGGCTCAAAAGGGTCCATGAGCTTGTAATTGGACTCTGTGCTGTGGTGGTGTACCCGGAAACAGAATTATCCACGGCAAAAGTGGTTCTTGGTCCAAAAGTGGCTCTTGGTCCAAAAGTGGCTCTTGGTCCAAAAGTGGTTCTTGGTCCATAAGTGGCTCTAGGTCCAAAGCTACGTTCCAGATGCTGACAATGTTGAGGGGAGTATTGTGTTTTGGACCAGTCTGGTATAGCCGCTGTGGACTCTTGAATGCACTCGTTAAATGAATGGGGCTGGTGCAAATGCAATTTTTCACATTTTCCTCTGGGAGGGGCTGCCCGCGGCCATTTTGGAAAAATATGGCAGGAGTGAAAAGTGATCACACAAGAGTTTCAATGACGGAGAGAGGCGTCACTACGTCTGGTCATTTACAGTCTGTGCAGGTGAAAGTCAGATCCAGTCAGACCTTTGAAGCTGTACAGAGCAGGGCCTGGGTAGTACTGTGATGGGAGACCTCTGGGAACAGCAGGTGCCTCAGTGGGGCAGCTGCTGCTGTAAAGTGCCAAACTGTGGTTGTGTCCTTAGGCAAGACACTTCACCCACATTAGAATGAGTCTGGTGTGTGTGTGAATGGTTGGTGGTGGGAACGATGGCACAGACTGGTTGCCTTGCTTCTGTCAGTGTGCCCCAGGGCAGCTGTGGCTACAGTAGTAGTTTATCACCACCGTGTTTGGAGAGAGAGAATAATGATGTGGAGCATCTCTGAGTGTCCTGAAAAGCACTGTATATTAAAATATTTGTATTGTATACAGTATGTGCACTGCTGTGTACTATTTGTGCTCCCCCCTTGGACTGCCACCTTAACGTGGTGGGGGAGTTTGAGCACTCGGATGATCCTGGGAGCTATGCTGTCTGGGGCTTCATGCCCCTGGTAGGGTCTCCCATGGCAGACAGGTCTCAAGTGACGAGTCAGACGAAGCGCAGTCCGAAGCCAACCGTGGACAGCACGACAACAAAAACCGTGACGTCGCCCGGCATGGCGCAGCCGGGGCCCCACCCTGGAGCCAGGCCTGGGGTCGGGGCTCGCAAGCGAGCGCCTGGTGGCCGGGCCTTAGCCCACGGGGCCCGGCCGGGCTCAGCCCGAAGGGATGACGTGGGCAGTCCCTCCTGTGGGCTCACCACCTGCAGAGGGGTCCGTGGTGGCGAGGTGCAGAGAGGACTGGGCAGCAGTCGAAGGCGGAGACCTCGACGACCCAGTCCACACACCCAACATCTGGCTCTTGGGACGTGGAACGTCACCTCACTGGGGGGGAAGGAGCCCGAGCTTGTGGGGGAGGTTGAGCGATACCGACTAGAGATAGTCGGCCTCACCTCCACACACAGCTTGGGCTCTGGAACCCAACTCCTTGAGAGGGGTTGGACGCTCCACTTTTCTGGTGTTTCCCGCGGGGAGAGGCGGCGAGCTGGGGTGGCCATACTCATTGCCCCCCATCTCAGCCGCCACGTGTTGGAGTTCTCCCCGGTGAATGAGAGGGTCGCGTCCCTCCGCCTCCGGGTGGGGGACAAGTCTCTCACTGTTGTGACGGCCTACGGGCCTAACGGTAGTGCAGAGTACCCGGCCTTCTTGGAGTCCTTGGGAGGGGTACTGGACAGTGCACCGCCCGGGGACTCCGTTATTCTCCTGGGGGACTTCAACGCCCATGTGGGAAATGCCAGTGACACTTGGAGAGGGGTGATCGGGAAGAGCGGCCCCCCTGATCTGAACCCGAGCGGTGTTCAGTTGTTGGACTTCTGTGCCAGTCACGGCCTGTCCATCACGAACACCATGTTCGAGCACAAGGGTGTCCATCAGAGCACGTGGCACCAGGACACCCTAGGCCGGAGGTCGATGATCGACTTTGTAGTCGTATCATCTGACCTTCGACCGCGTGTCTCGGACACTCGGGTGAAGAGAGGGGCGGAGCTGTCAACCGATCATCACCTGGTCGTGAGTTGGATCCGCTGGCAGGGCAGGAGGCCGGTCACCTGGCAGGCCCAAGCGTGTAGTGAGGGTTTGCTGGGAACGTCTCGCTGAGCCCCCTGTCAGACGGACTTTCAACTCACACCTCCGGGAGAGCTTCTCCCAGGTCCCGGCAGAGGAGGGGGACATCGAGTCCGAGTGGACCATGTTCTCTTCCTCTATCGCCAATGCGGCGGCTCGTAGCTGTGGTCGCAAGGTCTCTGGTGCTGGTCCCGGCGGCAATCCCCGAACCCGGTGGTGGACACCGGCAGTAAGGGATGCCGTCAGGCTGAAGAAGGAGTCCTATCGAGCAATGATGGTTCGTGGGACTCCTGAGGCAGCTGTCCAGTACCGGCAGGCCAAACGTGCCGCGGCCCGGGCTGTTGCAGAGGCAAAAACCCGGGACTGGGAGGAGTTCGGAGAGTCCATGGAGCATGACTATCGGTCGGCCTCGAAGAGGTTCTGGCAAACCGTCCGGCGCCTCAGGAGGGGGAAGCAGTTCTTTGCCAACACCGTGTATGGTGCGGGTGGAGGGCTGCTGACCTCGACTGGGGATATTGTCGGGCGGTGGAAGGAATACTTCGAGGTTCTCCTCAATCCCCCCGTCACGTCCCCCGTCCAGGAGGCAGAGGCTGAGGATGTTGGGGCGGATACTTCCATCTCCCTGGCCGAGGTCACCAAGGTGGTTGGCAGCCTCCATGGTGGCAAGGCGCCGGGAGTGGATGAGATCCGTCCTGACTATCTAAAGTCTCTGGATGTTGTAGGACTGTCTTGGCTGACACGTCTCTGCAACATCGCGTGGCGATCGGGGGCGGTGCCAATGGAGTGGCAGACCGGGGTGGTGGTCCCTCTCTACAAGAAGGGGGACCGGAGGGTGTGTTCCAATTATCGTGGGATCACACTCCTCAGCCTCCCCGGTAAGGTCTACTCCAAGGTACTGGAGAGGAGGCTTCGTCCGATGGTCGAATCTCGGATTCAGGAGGAGCAGTGTGGTTTTCGTCCCGGTCGCGGAACACTGGACCAGCTCTATACTCTCCATCGGATACTCGAGGGTTCATGGGAGTTCGCCCAACCTGTCCACATGTGCTTTGTGGATTTGGAGAAGGCGTTCGACCGCGTTCCCCGGGGTGTCCTTTGGGGGGTCCTCCGGGAGTACGGGGTCCGGGGTCCTCTGCTGAGGGCTGTTCGGTCCCTGTATGACCGGAGCCAGAGCTGTGTTCGCATTGCTGGCAGTAAGTCAGACCTGTTCCCGGTGCATGTTGGCCTCCGCCAAGGCTGCCCTTTGTCACCGGTTCTGTTCACTGTATTTATGGACAGAATCTCTAGGCGCAGCCAGGGGCCGGAGGGGGTCCGGTTCGGGAACCACAGGATTTCATCTCTACTTTTTGCGGATGATGTCGTCCTGCTGGCTCCAACGAACCAGGACCTGCAACATGCACTGGGACGGTTTGCAGCCAGTGTGAAGCGGCTGGGATGAGAATCAGCACCTCCAAATCCGAGGCCATGGTGCTTGACCGGAAAAAGGTGCCTTGCCCTCTCCAGGTGGGTGGAGAGGTCCTTCCTCAAGTGGAGGAGTTCAAGTATCTCGGGGTCTTGTTCACGAGTGAGGGGAGGATGGAGCGTGAGATTGACAGGCGGATCGGTGCAGCGTGCGCAGTGATGCGGTCTCTGTATCGGACCGTTGTGGTAAAGAGGGAGCTGAGCCGAAAGGCAAAGCTCTCAATTTACCGGTCAATCTTCGTTCCCTCCCTCACCTATGGTCATGAGCTGTGGGTAATGACCGAAAGAACGAGATTGCGGATACAAGCGGTCGAAATGAGCTTCCTCCGCAGAGTGGCTGGGCGCTCCCTTAGAGATAGGGTGAGGAGCTCGGTCACACGGGAGGAGCTCGGAGTAGAGCCGCTGCTTCTCCACGTCGAGAGGAACCAGTTGAGGTGGCTCGGGCATCTGTTCCGGATGCCTCCTGGACGCCTCCCTGGGGAGGTGTTCCGGGCACGTCCCACCGGGAGGAGGCCCCGGGGAAGACCCAGGACACGCTGGAGAGACTATGTCTCTCAGCTGGCCTGGGAACGCCTAGGGGTCCCCCCGGACGAGCTTGAGGAGGTGTGTGTGGATAGGGAAGTCTGGGCGTCTCTGCTTAGACTGCTGCCCCCGCGACCCGGCAACGGATAAAGCGGAAGAAAATGGATGGATGGATGGATGTATACAGTATATGAACTGCTGTCCTGCTGTATACTGTTGTATACTGGATGTGTACTACTGTATATTTATTGCTCAGCTAAAAATCCACAAAACAGTTTCTGTTTTTACTTTAAAGTCCTTGCAGGACTAATATAGACTTGTACTTGTCACAGTTCCTTCATGCCGTCGTCGTGAACCTTTTTAATCCTCGCTGTACGTCTCTCACTGATTGTAAAAGTGTATCGAGGTGTAAGACATGCGTCTTCGGTTGGTGAATGCTTTCCTGTGTGTCTTTGTGTGTCTGTGTCATGTTGAAGTGGTCCCTCTTGTTGTTAAAGTGGTGTCACACGTATAGAGCTGGTTATTCTGGTGTAAAAACATCCACTCTGAGTGTCGCCCCGAGGCAGACGTGGCTCGTTGACATGTCGGGTAGGTTCTTGTAGTCCGGTTTGAGCTGTGGTTTAGTTGTAGTCGTTCCCAGTAAAGACCTGTTTTTCAATTCAATTTATTTAGTATCACAAAGAAAAAGAATTGCACAGAAGGTCAATCCACTGAGTTAAAAGTAAAAGTAAAAAGAACTTGTCCAGGACTCCCTTGAAAAAGAGGTCCTTAATC